GTCTTCTGGCCAATCAGAATGAACATACTGATTGTTGCCGGAAGTCCCCACGGAGAATAACTTTGCGGTAGAACTCTTCTTTATACATCCATGGGTACAACTTCAGATAAAAATGAACACATAATGAAATATGACCCCCAGTTTGATGATTGACAGGTCACAGAACAATGGGGGCTATCTACCCTGACCCACAATTTAAAGTAATTCACACAGACTCTCTCCTCTTTGCTCTTCTCGCAGCAAGATGTCAGAACAAAGTGAAAAACAAACAATGGCATCAAATATTATTAATATGTCGGGTAGTAATAGATTTATTTATTTTCTTCTCAGAGTGTACCAGAATGCATAGTTTATGTTAGTATTTCTAAAAATCTCCTGGGGGAGAATCCCTCCAGACCCCCCTGCTGGGGTTAGGTTTTCGGCATGTGTGCCTTTTTATACAGTTCAGCTTTGGTTCCATCATCTCATTAAACCTTTTTTAAAAGCACACTTTAGTTCTGTGAAGGGATATAAGGGATATATGCACTGTACTTCACTTTTATTAATATTGTATGCTGAAAAGCTTATATTACAGCATGATCTTTTGTTGAATAGATTTGAGTGCTTCAAAATGTTGGGTCGCGATGTATTGACCAAGTAAAAAGTGGGTCCCGAGGCCTGACCAGTTGAGAACCACTGGACTATCTGTTCATTTTGGCTGTCTTTTCAAACTAAAATGGTCTTGATGACGTCCTTTAACATTTAAAAATTAAAAACAATTTAAAAAGTCTAATTCGCAAGATGTTTTTTTAACCCTAAATAGGTAGGAAATAAAAAATAAAGAAGATTGGAAAACACTTTTTCCCCCTCGGTTCACAGGAGGGTAAACTCAGTCCTGCTGCTATGTGATGGAGCTTCACCTCTCTTTCTTTCTGCTCTGAGCTGTGAACACTCATTATATTTCCTACTGACGCATCATGTGACACATCATGTGACTCGCTGCTGGACACACACTGACTTCCATCACCTCTCGCTGGAGACTCCTGTCCTTTTCCCCCCAGGTGTTTGTATGGCGCAACACCTTTATATAGCTTTACAGAGCCAGGTCACCTGCTTCTGCACGGCTTCACTCATGTCTGCTCAGTCTCCCTGCTGCGTGTGTGTGTGTGTGTGTGTGTGTGTGTGTGTGTGTGTGTGTGTGTGTGTGTGTGTGTGTGTGTGTGTGTGTAGGAGAGTGTGTGGGAAGAAGCCATTACTTCGGCAGCACAATGTAAAAGTTGATTTCGGAGTCCAGACGATTAATGCACACACACTTTATTCAAATATTTTCACATATTTTCCCTCTATGTGTGTACTGCAGGGAGACAGTGCTGTGCCACTAATAAGGCGTCGCTCTGACAGCAGTGTGACAGCTTCCTGACGGACAAGGACTCGGCTTTGTGCTGAGCTGCCGGAATATTCCTGGCATCTCTTCCTCTGGGTTAACTCTCGGGACACAAAAGCAACACTGAATAGGTTTTTCTGCAGAATCCAGATTTTATTTTCCCTTCAAATGTGATCTGAAAAACGACAGCAGGAGTCACTCAGTGCTCTTAACATTTTTTATTGAATTATCAGGGTCAGTTAGTCGAGGCACTTTGACAGAACTGATGAATACTGACCTTCTTTTTTTTTTTTTAAAGGGTTATGTTTTTGCTGCATATATTGCTAGCCAGAAACCCAGCAGACAATGTAGCTGTAGAAATAAACCACACAGAAATCTACATTGTATGCCAGGTTCAGGACAAAGCAAAGGGTCGTTCCTTTCACCTTGAAGGCCTTTCAAACATGCATGAATGAATGCTTCTCAACTTTACTTGCAACCTCCATGTTCTGAATAGCAAACAGAATACAACCAAACCTTCATTCTTAGTAAGATCTAGCAAATCTATAGAAGTCCACGAGGGAATTAACCAACTTCTCACTTGATTTATTACATCAGTACACATTTTCCTATCAAGTTAATATTCTATATATCCAGTTTGAAATCTTCTTAATACAGCATGACGTTCATTTTGTGATTTATGGTCATATTTAGAGTCAAATAAAGTAGTGTATGCTTAAGGCGGGGCTACCTTGTGATTGACAGGTCGCTAACACAGAATCTATTTTATGTTTTATCTGTGTTTTCTCTACATAATAGTTTAAATTGTCAACTTAAATGCGTCTCTTTCGCCAAAGTAACTTCTTGAAATCGATGTGACTGCTAGGACATTTCACACAAAGAGGACCTTGAGGGGGGAAGAGTTTAAAAGAATGGCGGAAGAGGAAGAAGTGAAAAAACCCCACAAAAAGCCTTGACAAGGGCCCCTTGTGGAGTTGTGACACAGAGAACATCCTGTCTGTGGGGTCACAGGATGAAGCCCCCACCCCTCCTGTCTTCACAGCCAATCAGAGGAGTTGGAATGCGCCACCAGCCAATGAGAGAGGAGCGTGTATGGCTCGACCAGGAAGTAGGCAGAGCCGTCAGAGACCCAGTAGCCAGATGTAGCTGCTGATTTCTACACAGGATCTACACTGCCTACTGAGCAACTGACAGCAGCCACAGAGACACGAGACGTGACGCACATGAAGACTCCCATCTGAGGAGAAAGAACAAATAGATTCATTAGAAATATATGGAGAGGAAGAAGTGAGAAAATTAGAAAGAACAGGAAAGAAATCAGTGGATAATGCAGAGATAGAGTTGGTTCAAAGCATGATGTATTTTTGAAGGCCAAATGGAGTAAACATCTCCCTGGTTGCTTCCACCAATATTCACTTTCAATTTAAATATTGTAGATAATAAAATCTGTGGCAAACACACTTTTATAATACCTTCATGTGTTGTTCAGCAGAATAATCTCCACATATTAACACCACTTTATGATTTCTGATGTAAAAAGCTTACATATAAAAGGCTGTAAAGGAACTACAGCACGGTCACATGAGTTCACGTCACCACCGCTAAGCTAAAGGAGGCTAATGTTGGGCTATAAAGGAACTACAGCACGGTCACATGACTTCACGTCACCACCGCTAAGCTAAAGGTGGCTAATGTTGGGCGGGATGACATTAAGTCGTCTCATTTAGACACTTGTTAGCAACAAAACAGCCCAAAACACATTCAAAGAGCCATTGACTTCCAGACGAGGTGACAGGAAGTGCTAAAATAGTGACTCATTTCCAGGTTATATGACTCATTCCTGCCCCACTCTATGGATTAGATAAAGCAGAGGAGAAGCAGCCTGAGGGAGGGGAAGGATACTGGAGATTACACGCTGACGAACATCTCAAAGCGTGGCGTCAGCAGTCGCAGATTCCTGTCATTCTTTCCCATTAGCCCCGAGGCGCGACAGCCATTCGGGCTCCAGCACTTAAACCGACACATAATGGGAGCGCTGACCCAATCCTAATAAATCACGACCTGTACAGGTGACTGCAGGAGAGAGAGGAGAGGAGAGGAGGTAAGGGAAGGAAAGAAGGAGATCTCCTCTCGTTCTCTGTGGTCTGCATACCTGAGGCCTCATGACTGCATTGATCAAACATAATGTGACCAGCTGATGGTCACTTGACTCCAATTGAGTTTTATTAAGGGAAATGCCCGCCGCCTTTTCCTCTTTCCTCTTTCCTCCTCACATTCCTGCTCTCTTTCAGCATTAATGCTTCTTCTATCTGAGTTCTTCTGTCACACTTCGCCCTCTTTTTACACGCTATAATTTCGTACCTCTTTGATGACAAAAGTTACGAGACACATCACACTGCTTTGATTTGCGTAACTTGGTCTGAATTTTGGAGCCAATGCAACTTAACGTGCACTATTTCTAATATCCAGCGACCGGCTACGAATAAATTCAAAAGATATAGAAATCTAAAGGAAAACGACGAAAATGAGTCAACATTTTCCAAGTGAGTTTTTGCTCTCAATCTGTAATTTAAAGTTGTCTTCAATACAGCATGATGTTCATTTAGTAACCTATGGTCCAATTTAGAGTAGAATAGACGATGTGTATTTTAGGGCGAGGCTACCTTGTGATTGACAGGTTGCTAAACCAGCGTTTCTCTTTGTGTGTTTCCTCGCCTAAAAAGACCTGTTTGGTTTTACCTGTCCTGTGTTCCTGCTATACTCCACCTATCTGTCGTCTCTATTGCAAAACACATGAGATCTATTAAGTCCACGAGGAAATTACCCTGCTTCTCACTTGATTTAAAAGCTAGTCTTAAGTCTTTTCAGTGTGTGATGTTCATTTAGTAAATGATGTTACCATTTAAAGTAAACTGGACACTAGCAAGGTGCACTTTGGGATGGGAACACGTTGTGATTGACAGCTTGCTACCACAGCATTTTAGATATTTGTTTGTGTTGTTTTCAGTTCATAAAAGTTCATTGAAACATTACTTCCCCTAGAAAGCCTTTGACACTGTTTGGTTTGACCTGTTTTCTGTTACTTGTTGTTGCGCAAACCCAGACGGTGACTTCCCAAAAGGCAAACTCACGGCTCTAAATCTGTAGTCCACAAACCAATAGGTGTTGCACGGAGATTACTTCCACTTCTTACATAAAGTCTATTGATATTTGTCAGCAATCTCTCGTGACCACCTATGAATGTAAGATTGAAAGATTATTGTCTTTGCTCCCTGAAGTATGAAGGGTTGTGTGTTCTTTGCTGCAGGGACTAATGTTTCCAGAGAGAATATGACAGGAGGAAAGAGGGGGGAAAGGTGTGTGTTGATGCAGAAATCAATGAATTAATATCTTACCTTTCTTTGGAAAACCTCTGGGGACTCATGGATGTTTATCTGGAGCCATCTCTGCAGAACCAGCCAACCTGAAACATATATAAAAATACATGAGTTTAACAGAAATGAAATTAATTACACACATGTTAGCGGCACTTTGAGTGAGAGTGAGTGAGAGTCAGCTCACAGGGCTGGAGATAAGCTCCTCTGAGTCTTATCTCTGTCGTTTTTCCATGCTTTGGTGATGCCGCTGGGCAGGGGGTCAAACGTACGTAAAGGAATCACCGAAAAAGGCATGCAAGCAGGACAGAATCAGAGGCGGAGGAAGAGGAAACTCTCACAGCTTAACCCCAAAGCCAGGGTGCTTCAATTCAGTTATACCAGCCCATAGCAGAATGAACCGTGCAGCGTTTGAGGAATGAGATATACATTATTCATGGGAGCAGAGACTTCTTAAGGAGGTTCAATGTGGTACCAACACAACCTGATCTCAGCATCTAACGCAAACTAATATGGACTTTGGTTAGAAACGTGTTTGGGATGAGTACGGCATGATCGTAAAACATGATAGAAATTGTATTTTAGTTGTAAGAAAATGGGGAAAGGCCTAATTACTCTATCCCAGTTTCTATTATTTCACATCTGGAAGACACTACATGTGCTATAAATACATGTCATACTTGAAAAATTTATTTTCTCATTGAATTAAGAACTAACAACAAATTTGTTTTAGAAAGTGTTTTATGTAAAACAACAAACGTGAATATGGTAAAGAAAGCCTTTTAAATGTACAATAAGGGGTACGACTCAGCGACATCGCCTAATATTCTATCCTAATCTCTGTTATATGACCATTTTATATGTTATAAATATGTATAATACTTAAAAAATTAGAAATACTGACTATTTTTTGTGCAAAATGTAAAGAGAAAACTGCAACATTCGAATGATATTTCTTAAAAAAGATTTCAGATCAATTTAGTCGACATGATTGTGTGTAACCATATTTCGGTTTGATTTCATCAGGGTGATATCCGACTGGAAGAGAATGCATTTCTACATCGAGTCAGTCAATGCTTTGTCTTTATGAATTTAGTCGAGACATTATTGCATATTACAATGTCTCGGTTTATGAGTTCATCACCGCTATATATTTCATTAACGGACGGATGGATTTCAACATCGTGTCGCGTCAATGGAGACTATTGAGGGAGGGACGGCATGTAAGTCCTGCAACACCAAACACTAGGAATGAATGAATGAATGTATGAATGAATGAATGAATGAATGTATGAATGAATGTGGGAGTTTAGGAGGGGTGAGGCCGGGTGAGGCCGGGTGAGGCCGGGTGAGGCAAGGCGTGCCATTCTATGTCTATTCCCAGAGTTTGGTGCATGGCAGTTGAT